TGAAGCAGATAAAATTCAACCTGATGTCATGCATGGAAGGGAATGTGGGTATGCAGTTCACCCATGCCTACTCAGTGTGCCAACTTGAATAAAATATTGGGAGGGGCCCAAGTAAGCCCGGCCCTGCAAAATCGACCACATGACTCAGGGCACAATCACCATTTGAATTGTAATGCCCATCAACTTGGGGGAGGGGGACAAAGACCCCTTGGCCCCTAGGAGTTGGTGACTATGTTGGTGTGCCAGCTATGGATGCCACCTGCTTTAGGTGAAATTAGTGCATTTGATTTACTCAGTTATAATAGTAAATCACCTTCACCCACTGTCAGGCAGCAGAGAAACCAACTTCCATGGCAGGCTGCCAAGAATGGACAAGAAGAAGAAGAAGAGTTTGGATTTGATATCCCGCTTTATCACTACCCAAAGGAGTCTCAAAGCGGCTAACATTCTCCTTTCCCCTCCTCCCCCACAACAAACACTCTGTGAGGTAAGTGGGGCTGAGAGACTTCAGAGAAGTGTGACTGGCCCAAGGTCACCCAGCAGCTGCATGTGGAGGAGCGGAGACGCGAACCCAGATTACAAGTCTACCGCTCTTAACCACTACACCACACTGGCCATCTGTGTTTATTCACTATTCACAGAGAGAGGCTTGGGAATGCAGCCTTTTGGAATAATGGCGTTTCCCCCAAGGGAATCTCCACTCCTCCATCTCTCCCACTTCCTAATGAGTCATCGCTACGGGTGCTGAAGAGAGCCCTTCTGTCTTTGAGCTCTCCTATTTTCAAGGCCCGTGGGGTTCTGGGAGAGGGCGGTCTGGAATACTTTCTACAGACACTGAGTCTGTCAGCTGTCGCTCCCCTGGTGCTTCTTCTTCTTCCTCCTCCTCTCCCATTATTTCCCACCTCTTCCTCTCTCTCTTTTTTAAATAGTTTTTATTAAGAATTTCAACATAATAAATTATCAAAAACAAATCATCTTCACACACCCCATTTTTCCCTCCCCAAGAAAAACCCTCCCTCCCTCCCCCCCAAGACTTCTCTCAGCTCCTATCTCTGATTTTTCAACACATGTTATTCTCTGTTATGTACTGAAGTTCTCACCCTGAACCAGCAGGGGGATACTGTAGATAGTTTTCACTCAGGTCCACATATGCAAATAAGGGATCGAAAGTGACGTTCAGTAATTGGATAGTTACAGAAAATGGTTACTGTTGCGTTCTAGTGGAGCTCTATATAAGCAGGCTGGCTGAACCCTTCAGTTCAGTTCTGTTCTGGTCTGTGAATAAACAAGAGCTGTTTGAAGAATCGCTGTGTCGTCTGATATGTTCACCCACAACTTAACTTTCTCTGCATATTATAAAATCGTAAAGATCCTTAAATTATCTATCTATTATATTAACAATAATAAATTTGTGTATGTTTATTCAAAACCTGCCAAGGAGTCCAGTTTATTTTGTTGTTTTTTTAAGTAATTTGTAAAAAAAATTCCCATTTTTCTTTAAAGCCACAGTTGTCCTTGCCTCGCAGTTTGTATGTCAATTTCGCCAGTTCTGCCCAGCTTTCCCCCTCATCTGCTTCTGAGCTGTGATCTCCCTCAAACCCCTGTTGCAATTCTGAACTGCCTTCTTCTTCTCTGGAAGTACCATTCCTCCTCTGCCCAGTCCCTGACACCCACTGAACTGTACATCTGTAGGTAGTAGGCGGTCATACCATACCTTGCTTACACAGGTGGAGGTGGCTGGAATGGCATACTGGGCAGGTAGCTATGAGCTGCAAGGACGCACTCCTCTCCAGACACTGGAGAAGATTGTCTGATCTGGCCCCAAGTTTCTGCCAAAGATGGTTCAAGAATCAAGGCAGTCCTAAGCAGATCTGGGTCTTTCTGAGAATCCAGCACACACTGCTTGATGAAGACTAGCTGTGGTTTTCTGGATGTCCTTTAATACAAATGACATGCATAGACTGCATCCATCATATTAACTGCTTGCAATGTTTAGGTTAATAATTCAACCACAGACTGAGCCTATCTGTTTTCTGCTGTTTTGCAATTCAAGCAGTTAATACGTTTTTCCATGAATCTTTGATATTTCTTCTTCAAGAGAGCCTAGCAGAATCCCATAGCATTTCCCTATGATTATTTACAATAATAATAATAAAAAACCTATGATTATTTACAACAACAACAACAACAATAATAATTAAAAAACCAAGCCATGCTGTATTGGGGGTGGGGGTGGGGAAAGGAGTAGCACCAACTAATTTAGAAAGTAACTAAGTAGATTTATTAACTTTTCAAGGACCATTGTGCATCCTTAGAGAGAAAATGTAATAAAATACAAAACTGTGAAGGGGTAATTTAATAGGGAAATAACCTGTCTTTTTAGAAAAGCAGAAAATGAAATGAGAATTTCCATATACGAGACATCAAAATATTACACGATGATGGATAAAGATGACATTTACAAGGCTTGGTAATGTAGAATAGTGAAGTTTACAGGAAATTAATTTAATATTGTGGATGTATCTTTTTCAGAGAAACCAAATCAAATGTCTTTGCCTGACAAGGTCAGAATTTACCACAGCGTTCATGAAATGGTTGCAAGCTGATGGGGTTTCATCCCTTTTTTCAATCTGTCTCAAAAATCATTTCAGGTATGAAAAAATATATGTAATTCTGTGGTGAGTCAGCCTCCCACGATATTAAAAAAAAGCAGCAACACTGAAAAACATTAGAAAATTGAAGAGAGGGAAGAGTTGTGGCCTTTCATACATTAGTGGCATGACCAATTCCTTCCCATGGACAGTTCTTGCTCTCATTGGTTTATGACCCACTAGACAAATGCATCCTGCCAGACATCTACCATCTGAATGTGGCTCTCCAGTCCATTCTATCAGGCCCTCAGAAGTCTCCTCAGGCCACACCTCTCACTGGATCTGCATTGCACCCAGTGAAGAAGAGCCAGTGTGGTGTAGTGGTTAAGAGCAGTAGACTCATCATCTGGTGAACCAGGTTCGATTCCCTGCTCCTCCACATACAGCTGCTGGGTGACCTTGGGCTAGTCACACTTCTTGAAGTCTCTCAGCCTCACTCTCCTCACAGGGTGTTTGTTGTGGGGGAGGAAGAGAAAGGAGAATGTTAGCCGCTTTGAGACTCCTTCGGGTAGTGATAAAGCGGGATATCAAATCCAAGCTCTTCTTCTTCTTCTCGGTGTTTTGACCTGACTGGACATGTGTCTTCAACTGTGATGATGCCTCTTGCTTCTCTGGATAAATGACAGAGGTAGGGGTGCCTGTGTAGAAACAAGCTTAATATAAAAGGGCTTGGGGAACCCTACAGGGCAGATTTTTGGGGGTGAGGGGGTGAGGAGAGGAAATGGAAGTCCCATTGCACAAGTGAAACTGCCCCTTTACAGCACTGGATACGACCCAAAGCTTTGAGATTTCTGTTCCAAGCATTCTCCACATATTTGGAAAGATTTAAATATTTGCAGTTTTTGTGAGGTATTTTAGATTATAGTATTCACTTAGGTTTGGATAGGTTCTGAACACCTTTCAATATAGGAATAGTCATACTCGTTTTATTGCATGCTATGAAAACTGGACGTTTTGTTCCTAGAATGCCCTGGGCAGATTGATTAGTATGTGAGGAACGGCAGTCATATCTCTGAAGTTATGGCTCTGTGTGCACTGCGTGATGAGTGGGGAGGGTGGGGGTGTATATATGTGATTAATCTTGATTTTAGGGTGTAAAATTACATACAGTAGATGGCTTCACAGGCTTAAAAGCAATGCAATCATTTTTAAAACTCTGTTTTCCCCCCACCTAAGACAAAGTGACTAACTCCAAAGAGAGGGGGAATTGTTTCATTGACTTCCTTAAAACACCAACATTATTGGTATGAATAGACTTTTAAGACAATGAGAACCTAGTAGCTATCTACTTTCCTAAACATGAGATGCCTTCAATCTACAACAATGAATATCTAGGGGTGGTTTAGCAACAACCACCAAATTCTGCAATATCTGTCATGACTGTTTGTGCTGCCGCACTTCAGCACACTTTAACTCAACATCTGTGAAATGGGCACAGTTTCTTGCGTTCCTCACCTGACGCATCAGTTGTCATCCAATGCTCAATGGGTTAAGTCAGTGGACAGACTGACCGGGCTGCTTTGGAAGCCCATGCCCCAAACACACTTCAGTATTAGCCCCTTGTTCTCCATGAAATTCTTGTTGGTCTTTGAGAACTGCAGCGCCAGCAGTTTTATAGGCAGAAACAGGCTATTGTTAACACCCTACTGGTGATGAAGTTATTGTTAACTGCTCTAGATGCTACACTGCCCAACCAGATAACATTTTTGGTTTGGTATCTTATCATTTCTCTGAATCCTTTAACCGGTCCCCTTGGGAGGAAGGGCAGGATAGAAATTTAATGAACGAATACAGGTATGAATGATGTAGATGCTGTTTCCATCCAGTACATTTCCAAGCAGAATTCAGAGAGTTGGTGCTGACCTTTAAAGCCCTAAACGGCCTTGGCCCAGTATACCTAAAGGACAGTCTCCATCCCCATTGTTCAACCTGGACACTGAGGTCCAGCTCCAAGGGCCTTCTGGCGGTTCCCTCACTGCAAGAAGTTACAGGAACCAGGCAGAGGGCCTTCTCGGTAGTGGCACCTGCCTTGTGGAATGCCCTCCCATTAGATGTTAAGGAAATAAACAACTATCTGACTTTTAGAAGACATCTGAAGGCAGCCCTGTTTAGGGAAGTTTTCAATGTTTAATGTTTTGTTTCATTTTTAGTATTCTGTTCGGTGCCGCCCAGAGTGGCTGGGAAAACCCAGCCAGACGGGCAGGGTATAAATAAATAAATAATTATTATTATTACCTCAAACCCTGCCCTTTCACTTTTTATCTGGATGGCGTGAATACATTTCCAATGAACTCTCTCCTATGGGTGGTGCTGGCAACTACACTTCTCAGGAGTAATGCAACGTGTTTTGCCCATGGGATAGCTCAGTTGGTAGAGCATGAGACTCTTAACCTTAGGGTTGTGGGTTCAAACCCCACACTGCAGGATTTTGGACTGGGTTAGCCTTGTCGTCCCTTCCAACTCTATAATTCTATGATTCTATGAAATAATCTATGATAATCCAGGAAAGAACTCTCAGGAAAAAAGATGAGGCTTTTTTCCAAGAAAGCACGTAAATGCTAAACTGATTCCAAATTGAGACAAGGCAAGTTTGCTCATGACTATCAGGAACCATTTGTAAGCTCTTCCAAGGAGTAAATATGACATATACATATAACTGCAAAAAGAAAGAAAGAAATACAGTGGTGCCTCGCAAGACGAAAAGAATCCGTTCCGCGAGTCTCTTCGTCTTGCGGGTTTTTTCGTCTTGTGAAGCAAGCCCATTAGCGGATTAGTGCTACAGTACTGTATTAGCGGCTTAGTGGGCTTAGTGGATCAGCTGATAAGCGGCTTAACGATAAACTGATAAGCGGCTTAACGATCAGCTGATAAGCGGCTTAACGATAAACTGATAAGCGGCTTAAAGATCAGCTGATAAGCGGCTTAGCATCAGCTGTTAAGCGGCTTAGCCATCAGCTGATAAGCGGTTTAGCGGCTTGGGAAAAAGGGGGGGAAAAGGAAAAAAACCCCGCAGGAACTCGCAAGACATTTTCGTCTTGCGAAGCAAGCACATAGAAAATTCGTTTTGCGAAGCACCTCCAAAACGGAAAACCCTTTCGTCTAGCGGGTTTTCCGTCTTGCGAGGCATTCGTCTTGCGGGGCACCACTGTACAAAAATTCCTAATCTATTCAGCATTGATGTTTTATCCAGGTGGTTAACCAAACCTTTATAGAACTTCTCTGTGAAATAATACTCTTTTTTTTATTATTATTGAGCTGGGTATTTGAGGCACCTGACTTAGATGTGTATATTAAACCCATTTAAAATCAGTTTATTTCCAACCAATTGACTCTGAACATCAGTGTATAATGAGCTGATTCTCCTTACTGTAGGTGTATGAACACAAGTGTACACACTCCAGCAAATTGTTAACCCGGTCTTTGATCTTGCGTATCTTCAGAGCTAGAGTCTCTCAATAAATGTAAAGATAATTTCTTTTTCTTGGCTGTTCTCAACAATTCAAATGGGGCATGATTGTGAAATTTAGAAGCTGATTCCTAAATCTATGCACCTATAAAACCCAGACTTCAACCTGTACTGCCACATGTGTGAAATTTTATTTTAAAAGGGCAGGGGGGTGGGGGAGTTAAGAGTTCCCCAACACTCAGAAAAGAATCAAGTCAACCAGAAAGCTAAAAAGGAATGAAAGAGCAGAATACGTCAAGTAAGTATTTTGAGCATTATATCTCTTCCTGGCGGGTGGGGAGAGGTGTGGAATCCAGTGGTAGCTCAGCAAATGTGACTGATCTGCACATTAGTCCAAAATGTGTAGATTATCAGGTCAATGAGCTGGAGAGTTGGTGCCTCTGGAACTAGGTAAGGTGTGCACTTGCTCAGAGGGCAGCATCGTTACTGGAGAGAGTGGGATGGATTTGTAGGAACAGTCAATGTATACATACATACGTTTCCGAGCACAATTCAAAGTGTTGGTGCCAACCTTTAAAGCCCTAAACGGCCTCGGCCCAGTATACCTGGAGGAGCATCTCCACCCCCATCGTTCAGCCAGGGCACTGAAGTCCAACTCCAAGGGCCTTCTGGTGGTTTCCTCACTGCGAGAAGTGAGGTTACAGGGAACCAGGCAGAGGGCCTTCTCAGTAGTGGCACCCACCCTGTGGAATGATCTCCCATCAGATGTCAAGGAAATAAACAACTATCTGACTTTTAGAAGACATCTGAAGGCAATCCTGTTTAGGGAAGTTTTTTATGTTTGATAGTGTTTTTAATATTGTTGGGAGCCGCCCAGTGTGGCTGGGGAAACCGAGCCAGATGGGTGGGGTATAAACAATAAATTTTATTATTATTATATCATATTATATTATATTATATTATAATTATACATAATGTTATTTTTATGCCACCTTTCCACAAATCAAACCATGCTCAAGGCGGGGGGGGGGCACTTAACTGCAGCATAACAAAAGTAGTCATAAACAACATATAAAACATCAGAATATGCACAAGCATACTGAACAATTTCCACATAAATCACAAGATGTAAAATAAAGATACAAAAAAAAAAAGCCCAGCAACAAAACTGCTTACCAACAAACACCCCCAAACAGCAGCCCAGCCCAAGAGTCTGCATGCAGTTGAAGCTTACTCTATTTGATAGTTGTTTTTCATGTGTTGGGAGGGGCAAACAGAGAACGGTATCAAAACATATCAGGAAGCATAGCACCTGTTCTGTTTTTCATCGCTGTTTGTCAGCTGCAAATTAATCTCACACACATACACCACGCACGCGGAAGATCATTTGAGCCCTTCCTATGCAGCCTTCACCTATGCAGTTCCCAGATTGCCTTGGGATGTTGCAGCAGCACCAACTACAAAGACGCTTGCAGCTGCTTTGATCATTCTTGGCCAGCACAATGCTTCAGGAATGCTTGCTTGCAAATAAACTCCACGGACTATGACGGAATTGACCTGCTAGCGAGCAAGTTTATAGTGGCAGCCGTGAACATACAAAAGCTACTTCTGTATGCCTCACATCATCTGTACACTTGTTATTGTCCAGATCGCAGCCAGGCCCGACTCTAACCAGTGGTGCAGCTGGCGTGCTGAATCAGGGCGCTCCCCACTGCCGAGGGCGCCGAGGGGAGTCCGGAGTTGAGCAGAGTCTGACTCGCAGTGTTTCTCAACCTGTGGGTCCCCAGATGTTGTTGGACTACAACTCCCATCATTCCTAGCCAGAACGACCAGGCAGCCTCCGCCGCCTGCCGCCCCGCCACCTCGGGAGTCGGGCTCCTGATGCTCGACAGCCGAGTGGGAGGCGTTGAGGCCTGCGCGCCCCTCAACATGCCTAGAGGCTATGCACTTCCCACTAGGCGCACAGCCCGGCCTTGCCTCCACTGCCTTGGGCTCCTGCCCAGAGTCCGAGGCTGAGCAAGGGAGGCGTTGAGGTGGCCGGCCTGCACGTGCCTCAACCTGCCTAAATCCCTCAGGTGTGCGGTTGTTGGGATTTTTATATCTCACCAGCTGCGAGAAGCAGCACAATGGTTGTTGACATCATGTGATGTCTGGTAGCGTGAGGCAGGAAGTCTCTGCTTGTTCTCAGTAACTGGAGAGAGTTACTTTTGCTTCTGAGTGAAGTGAGTGTCGAGTTGGATTTCTGTGCTAGCTGCTCAGGAGATCAGACATGTCAGATGAGAGCTCTGTGTACAGTCCGTAAATAAAGTAGTGTGTAGACTACTGACTGTCTCTTTCTTCTGTGATGGGATACCAGAAGACGAGTGTGCTCCTCTCAGGATGGAGGAGTCACTGGACTGAGGGCAATTTCCGGCCTGAGAGTGACCACCGGAGGGGCCTCGGTGTCTTGGGAAGTTGGCACCCTTCCCGGCTGGCGTTTTTCCAACAGCGGTCACGTACTCAGCCCCGTTGCCACTGCGGAGCTCTCCTTCGGCTCACTGGATCTCGCCTGGTGAATGGGGCTTGGGCCACAGAGCACATACCAAACTTTCTGTGGGATGGCCGCCCCTGGAGCCCTTTCCAGTGACTGACACAGAGAAGCCCGTTTATTTGTTTCTTGGAGTATTTTAATCATCGTATCACAGAACTGGACGGTTGGAAGGGACCTCCGACTGTCCTCTAGACAAACCCCCTCCAGTGCAGGAATCACAGCACAAGCATCTCTCACAGAACAAATTTGCTCCATCTTCCCTGTGAATAGCCCTTCAAATACAACAGAATAACAGAAGCATTCACAGAGCTGGAAGGGAACCATCAGGATCATCTAATCCAACCCCCCACAATGCAGGAATCTTTTGCCCAACATGGGGCTTGAAACCACAACCCTGAGATTAAGAGAGTCGTGTTTTACTGACTGAGATATATCTAAGTTCAGCATTTCTTTTCTCATTTTGGTGCCAGGTTAAGCTATGCCATTTTGCTTGGACAATTTAAGACCAGGAATGACTTGTCAGATTTTGGCTGGTCCACATGCATCTGAGACTATAAGTGTGTGTATATATATATATATGGGTGCATTGTTAATAAATGCTGGTACCTTTCCTGGGAAAATCAGAGGCTCACTATGTCAGGTTCCTATTGGAAGACCGGACAAATGCTAGAACATTAGTAGTGGCAAAGTTTTTATCGTGGTTGCAAGAACAAATGATCCCTATAGTCTGAACAAAATGCTTGTTTAAACTGGAGGTAGGCTGTATGAATTGTGTATTGCTTTGTAATGATTTGTTGGGTCTCTAGACCGTAATAAAGATTGATGATGATGATAAGTGCATTGTTAATAAATGAGCAACTAAAAAAAACTTTGTTTATGTTTCCTGTTTTCTTTTCCCAAGCAGAGATAATGTGTAAGCGGGTGTCAGCTCCCTAAAAAAAGGTCAGCAATTCTAGGGAACCTTTCCTTAAAAAGATCAACAACTGGGGGGGGGGGCGCGATGGAGGGATCTTTGCACCGCAACGCAGGATATGCTTAAGACGGCCCTGATCACAGCCATTGTCATTAGGGTGTTTCCTAGGTGACAAAGACAACAACAATGGCACTTTTTAAAGAAGTAGTAGATCTGATCAGATAATGTGCAATCACTACTGAACAGGGTGAATAGTTTCTAATCCCTAGACAACTGGCACTATCTATTCCCTGTGCAAAGAGGAAGGCAAACCCACTTCTGATACTCCAACACCTGCCTGTGTCCAGGCTGACACTAGAAAGCAACTGCAAAGCAGCGTTGTCAGTTTTGCTAGACTTCTCTGGAATGGCTTTTTAAGGTGGGGGGAAAGCGTGTGTTTTTCTAAGGGTGACTGTAGGGAACAGGCAAGTGCCATTGGGGCAAGAAAGGGCTGCAGAGATGAGATTACAGCCAGACACTGTGACCTGCTCACCAGGTGAGATGATAGTGCTACAGTCAATTCACACCTGCAAGGACTGCGCTGCAGTATTACCATTGCAAACTATTGTGATATGCCATCACTTGAAGAAGGGAAAAGAACAGGAAGACAACAAGAAAAGCACAAAAATACAAGAGCTTGGGGTGAACGTCCTAAGGATTTTCCGGAAGAAATGAATGAGTGGATTATATCAGTATCGGAAGAAATAGCTAGTGGGGAAGAGGGATGTTTAAGGTTTTTGTTTGGTTCTCTTTTTTAAGTTAGCCAGTCTGATTTTCCCTTCCTGGACTAATACATGGATCAAAACACAGTTATCCTTCAGTTTTTGCACTTCTGATTTTGAGATGCAGTTCTCAGCTCAAAGATATGTACCCAAATACACAACATATATACAAACAGATGAATTTTATTTTAAAATGCATTCAAACGTTTGAGAGTAAATGCATACCAAAATGCTCAGTTTGTGAACAATATGTGCAAAAAAGAATGCACATTTTGTGTGTGCTGGGGTAGTTAAATTGCAGAATGATGTGGAAATGGAACAAAGCAGACTTAAAATGAAGGTTTTGAAAACTGACGTAGGCTGGGAATAGACTGATCTCTCTGTGTCTAGTGTGGAATGCCTCTATCTGTTGCTTCATTCATTCATACATTATGCCATTTAATTTTAAAGGCAATGCTAATAACTAGGATATATTTACTTATTTATATCACTTGTGTACTGCTTACCAGTCATAACGGTTCTTAAAGTGTTTCACACTAATAATTACAGAACTAGCACGTTGCCAGATTACAGAAATCTAAGCCGATTAGTTGTATTACTTTTGGTAAATTAAGTGATTGGTTAAAATTTGCATATGGGAAAAAACCCAGAATTTCTAAGCGAGAAGCATTATTTGCTTTTTATTTGATGCTTGCATGTGTCAAAGGAGGGGCCAATTTAGATTTAATTTTGCCCTGCTATGCAAGAGAAAACAAGGCATATCTCTTTTAAGGTTGTGCTTGCTGTCACCAGGTTAATGCTAATACTAATGTAATAATAATTTGGGAGCGGGGCTTATTACTTATTCTTTTGAGCTGTGTGCACACCATACATTTAAAGCAACCCTCAAAGAATTCTGGGAACTGCTGTTAACCCTTCGCAGAGCTATAATCACCTGGAATCCCCGCTGCAGGGAAGGGCTTAGGAACAGTGGAAGCTATTTTATACCACGTCAAAACATTGGTCCACCTAGATTAGCATTGTATATACTGAGTGGCATTTCTCTTGAATATCAGACAGGAGTTTCTCACAGGTGTACCTGGAGATGCTGGGGATTGAACCTACAACGTTTTGCAGACAAAGCAAATGCTCTACCATTAAGCTACAGCTTATGGAATTGCACAGGAAATGGAGCTGGGGGCAGGGAGGTGAAGCCCAGATCCTGCTAATCCCTTCTTCCCTGAAAATTTCTATCTCTGGAGCCGCTGCTTTGCAGAGGAAGAGAAGAGGCAGCTTGATTTCAGGATATGAGGTGAAAGTGGAACATGTTGTTCTGGCCTTTAATGAAAAGGGGAAGATGGAGCTTTCATAAAATCCTAGAGAGTCCTAGATGTATTATTGCCCCCAGGCTCCACAAACAACTTCCTTTCACCTAGCTTGGTGGGATCAAAAGACAGCATAACCAAGTAAATATCCAATACCTAATAAAAAAGGCTGAAATATTGAAATGGAATGTAACACCAACCCCAAAAAGCATGCCTCCACAGGAGCCACTTCAGTCTTCCGGAAAACTTGTATATGAAAATATCTTATTGATTAAGTTGATCTGTGTTGTTGATTCCTGTTTTATAAAGGGCAATGAGGTAAAATGGAGGTAATATGTACATCTTAATAAATGAAGCATTAAATTTCAAGTCTCTAAAATGAAGATGGGGAAGACAGACAAAGGCAGCAATTGAACTACTTGTCACTGACACAAAGCAGCCTCTGGTTATTTGTTAAAAATGTCTCTTTAAGGTTCCTCGTGAACAAATATCTTACCCCTCCCCTCAAAACAAAATCTATTACAGTTTATTTACTTTTTTTTAAAAAAACAAACTGATCTCTACCGTATCATCTCAGCAATGGTAGAACCAAACTGAAATACCCTTGAACTTATGAGAAAATAATATCTGGGATATAGCAATGTCTGAGCATCTTACCAGACACAGGAGGGCAACTAAAGACATAACAAATAGAGGCACCTTCCAAGAAACGTGGACCCCTTTCTTTAACTATGTTAAATGACCAAAATCAAGACTTTCTTATACCAACAACTTGACCTTCTCAGTGGAGGGGTTACACCAAGTACAGTGGTACCTCCGGTTATGGATGGGATCCGTTCCGGAGGTCCGGCCAGATCCTGAGGTTTTTGCAACCAAAGGGACCGCTTCTGCACGCACATGATGGTAGAGCACTTCTGCGCATGCGCACGTGGCAAAAACCTGGAATTATACTTCCAGGTTTGCCGCTTAAGTATCCCAAAGTTTACATAACCGGAGGGATATGTAAGCGGAGTTATGATTGTAATGTGTTTGAATGTTGAATGTGTAAGTGCAGTGCTTTTTTCTGAGGGGGGGACCCAGGGGTACGCGTACCCCTAAACATTTTGTGAATCTAATGGGAGAAGAAAATAAAAAAAATAAAAATTTTAGTTTCTTTTCTAGCACGATGAATTATCAGTTCCGTTGCTACCCCCGATGGCAGCCTCATTTCCTGTCACGGTGTTTCCTGAGTCTCGGACGGAAGCGGACGTTTAATGTGTGAAGTAGTGTGGAATGTGGATGTGTGGTGTTTTACTAATGAAAGTTTGCATGTTCTTTGTACTTTGGTCCATTTATTTTCCCCAATTTGAACTATAAAGTGATGGTTTATTTGAGTCAAAATGAGATTACCCCTAAACATTTTTTAGAAAAAAAGCACTGTGTCTAGAGACAATGGATAAAACATAAACCATTAGATGTACTGCTGGACGTGTATTTAATGGTTATTGTATTTGTATTTGTTTAAAAAGCATTTTTAAAAATTGTTTTTAAAAAGTGACCATAGTGTTTATATATGGCAATGTTGGGGTGACTAAATTAAAAGCCACGGAATAGTGAACAAGTTTTTGAGCTTTGCTATGGACCAAAATGATGAGGGTGAGTGGGTGTCTAGGATGGCTGTGTAATGCTTGCCACTGCAGTGCATAGCGTACTTTTCTTGGTTGAAAAGATTAATTCATTTTGGCACCTGAGAATAAATGAGTGTGTTGCCCATATCCTTCAAACAGAAGTGTCAAGAACTGTGCTCTTCTTGGGGGTGGTTCATACAACATCACAGTACATAACAGCACTAGCAGAATGTACCGTACTCCATCATTTTTCCAAAAATGGGCATTTAGCATTTTTAGAGCTCTACCCGTTTCATTTTTGCACCTTCCATTATTATCATTAAGACAGCAAGCACTTGCACTTGAAAGGGATATCTTTAGAGTGAAATATCTAATAAAGAATGGAAACCAGATGATAATTCCTACCAGTGGGTGGCATTTGCTCAAAGCCTTTCCCTACACATCCAATTTGGTGGTCTGTCATCGGAGAACACGGTCAAGTCTTGTTTTCCCCTCAAGTCAATTTTAATTTAGAAATAGCTAAATTTACCTTGTCTGTTGAAGTCACCTGGGCTAATACAATTGGATCCCATGCTGTTCTGCAAACGAAAACATCTCATGTGTGTGTCTAGAGAGGAAGCACCTCTAATTATTCACTGTAGGCCTTCTGAAACAGCGGTTCCTCATCTTGCAGGCTGGGTACAACCCATGACACCTCTCCTCCTGGCCTGCAGCTGCTGCTCCTTACCCCAAACTTTACCCACAGTGCCATATTTAGGTTTTTGGGGGACAGGGGGCGGGCTGGTGTGGCAGGTGCGCAGCCTGGGAGTCATTTTGGACTCATAGCTGTCCATGGAGGCGCAGGTCAATTCTGTATCCAGGGCAGCTGTCTACCAGCTCCACCTGGTACGCAGGCTGAGACCCTACCTGCCCGCAGACTGTCTCGCCAGAGTGGTGCATGCTTTAGTTATCTCCCGCTTGGACTACTGCAATGCGCTCTATGTGGGGCTACCTTTGAAGGTGACCCAGAAACTACAACTAATCCAGAATCCGGCAGCTAGACTGGTGACTGGGGGCGGCTGCCGAGACCACATAACACTGGTCTTGAAAGACCTACATTGGCTCCCAGTACGTTTCCGGGCACAATTCAAAGTGTTGGTGTTGACCGTTAAAGCCCTAAACGGCCTCGGCCCAGTATACCTGAAGGAGCGTCTCCAGCCCCATCGTTCTGCCCGGACGCTGAGGTCCAGCGCTGAGGGCCTTCTGGCGGTTCCCTCATTGCGAGAAGCAAAACTACAGGGAACCAGACAGAGGGCCTTCTCGGTAGTGGCGCCCGCCCTGTGGAACGCCCTCCCATCAGATGTCAAAGAGATAAACAACTACCTGACATTCAGAAGACATCTTAAGGCAGCCCTGTTCAGGGAAGTTTTTAATGTATGACATATTAGTGTATTTTTGGTCTTTGTGGAAGCTGCCCAGAGTGGCTGGGGAAACATAGCCAGATGGGCGGGGGTACAAATAATAAATTATTATTATTATTATTATTCAACAGGATGCTTTTTTGAAGCCTAAATATGGCAAGGGTATGTTAGCTACAATTTGGATGGCAGTTACTTTGTAAGAAGGTATATGAGTATGTGAGCGAGACAGAAAATGAGTGTGTTTGTGTGTGTGTGTAAAGGTTGCATGGGAGTTGATTCGTGCAGATGCAGATGCAGATGCACATGAGTGTTTGTATGCAGTATACACCTGCAAAGTGCTGTCTCCAGCCACTCCTGCTAGAGCATTTGTACCCCACCAGCCTTCCCACCCACTCCCTTCGTATAAGCAGCAGTGGCTCACCGCCTGGGAAGCCAGCATAACTGTTATTCCCCACCTGCTGAGATGGGGAACCAACTTCTGGTGAGATATTATTCAGCATCTTTACAGGTGAAATAATGAGCAACCCATTTCTTTTCAGGAGGTCAAAATGGAGTCTGGACTAACCATCCCACTTCCTTTCTTCCTCCCGCTTTGAAACTGTTCTATTTCCTTCAAAATCTTCCCACTTCAACCGCTGTCTGGCCCTGGGGTTCACCAGCCACAGCCAGTCAGAAAATGTGGGCCGGTGGACCCTGAGATGTACAGTGTGGATTTTGTAGTTGAAGACTGCCAGGCTCTAATTGGATTTTTTGCAACGAAGCCTGCATTGTGTTCGGGATGAAGGAAAGCTTGTTAAACAGAACACTTGTTGCTATACAGCAGGTAATGATCTTGATATCTAAATTATTTGAAGTGGTTACTATTCATTATAAAGAAATCTTTGGTCTTGCGTTGTTTGAATCTGGGGGTGACACAATTACAAAAAAAAGACAGAAGACAGAAGAAGTACCAACAAAAGAACAATGGCAAGAGAAACTTATGGAATATGCAGAACTGGCAAAATGAACAGAAAAATTACATGAAAAGGACAACAAAGACTTTAAAAGAGAGTGGGAACTATTTACAACATATATGAAGAGGCAACATAAAGAAATGGACTCATTGGCAGGGTTTGAATAAACAATCACAACTGTATTAAAAAAAAAAAGAAGACGATATGTATTGAGAAAAATTTTAGGAAACAATACGCAGGGTGAACAAAATGGAAAACAAAACAGAAGTATGAGGGAAGTCCAGGAGATGGATGTCTCTGTAATATAGGCACTGGAGAAGCACATGCTCTATTGTTTCTATTTATCCAGAATCACAGGCGAATTGTCTCTCTGAGTAAGCAATCTTCCTATATTGACCTTCAATAACAGCCAAGGGGAGGGCGAGACATCGTGCCAGGGTAAAGGCCCTCTGATGCTTAGGGACTTCAAGTTTAGTTAGATATGCCATGGGGGAGGCAGAGTACCTGGCAGATTCACTGGCGATAAAAGATGGGGTCCTGGCTAGATCTCTTTGGCGCTCTGTGTCTGCTACACGTTGTTTAATGAGTGCTTTGGCCTGATCATATCACATGCTGAGTAGAAGACCTGGAGAGAAGCCCAGGGACATGGGTATCAAAGATGGGAGAAATGAGGGAGGAGAGTGTGAAGGAGCGACAGAAAGGCAGAGGAAAGCAAATGGACGACACACCTTTGGATCTGCCTTCCACCTTCTACTGGCGTGTGGTTCCTGACAGATTACCCAAATGGAATGTGCTCCTCAACAGAAAAAAAGGTAGCAGAAACTGACCTATACTGAGAGAGTCAGTTCATTGCAACAGAGAAATGCCTCTGATTAGTTTCCTGACTAATAATAATAATAATAATAATAACAAATTTTATTTGTATCCCGCCCTCCCCGGCCAAAGTCAGGCTCAGAGTGGCTAACATCATATAAATTAGACGATATGCATAATACAAGCGATCAATCAATTAAGATACATCCCACAATTAATTCTTAAATTAAAATTAAAACTGGACAAGTGGCAATCTTCAGGTTAAAACTGGAAGTGGCTAATACTCACCAAGACCAACTGTTTCCACTGATATTATAAGGACCTATGAGTGGGCTGGGAACCTTCTTCGTGCTTGTTCTTATACAAAGAGAAAATGAGTCAGGCTGAACCCTGACCAAAGGCCTGGCGGAACAGCTCTGTCTTGCAGGCCCTGTGGAAGGATGTCAAATTTCCATGGATTTCTATGGGGGGAGGGGACAGTTAACTCATTAGTGTGTAAAAAGGGTAGGGACTCATTTGGGAAGCTCAAAAGAAAATGTCTAATCGGTTTTATTGCTTCAAAATAGCCCTTTCTGGTGCCTTAGCTGATATTCACCTTGAATCCTACTTTTAGAAAGAAAGAAAAGCAGAAATATGTCTTGTTTGCTTTCAATCTCCCTTGCCATGCTCAATTAACTCCACCTTTTTCCGTTCCCCACAAGGAGCTGTCAGTTCCTTCTGGCAATGACTGTTCAAGTGTACCCCAGAACAGTATTTTAGCTCTCCTGCATAGCAGCCCTTCAAAGCTGAAGCTTCAGGCTCAGTTGACTTCAGGCTAGGATTTTCTTCTCCCCGTGGAAGAATAAGTTTGGGGCATAAAAGGCAGAAGAAAGGCACTGAGGAATGCTCGAAACAACGAGAATGCTATCTGCATGGCTGGAGGCTTGTCCTTTAAAAACAGAGTCAATGAAGCCTCAGTGATGTTTGTTGATATCCGTGCATGATTGTGAGGAACAATTCTACAAATGAAGTTAGATAAAAGAGTTGGGGGGTGGAATTATGCCAGAAGCTGCAATATGCACGAATGTGGAATACGTCAGAAATCCTTGGAAACTGGATCTTTCAAGGCAGGTGCTAACAGTCCTGTCTTGTTTGGTAGAAGCTGAAGACTCCAGATAAGGCTGAATGTGGCAAGTTCCCAGTGCCACTCCAAATACATACCCCACGTAAAAATAATGAAAGATGATGAAAGGAAATGTGTTTTTCAGGGTCACATGGTGCTGCAAGGCCAGCCAAAGTTTTAACGACTAATACAGATCCTTAAGATCAACAGTTAACAAGCAAATTACTTGTAAACGATTAGCTGGGCTTCCAAAGTGTTTGACATAAGTTCCATTATATTCAGTAGAAAATCTATAAGAGCCAGTGGCAACAGCAGAACATCAATAAAAAGGCTCTGCGAGGTTTCCCTGCAAATAACCAAACCTTTCCCACTGTATGCAATGAAAGTTTGCATGTCAAATATTGTCACACATAAGACATGTAGAGACACATAAGACTTTTCCAAAACATGAATTGCATTGACTCCTAAAGTGATGGCCTTGTTAACAAAGTGTTGACAAACTCAAGGTGATAGCCTGGGTGATGGGCCATTAAGGGGAACAAAAGGAAGGGGCACTGTGTGAGACAGCAAGGTGGTGGGTCCCCTCACTCAATAAGATAGAATGAATTGCAGTGATATGAAGTAAGAATGATAAGAAGTGAAGCAGCAAGTTGGAGAGAGAGTCAGAGAAATGTTTGAGAGCAACACCTAATCTTTGCTTGAATCCAAGGTTGTGGTTACAGGAGAAACAAGACCCTTTTGAGGTGTTAATGCTGTGACACCCCCCCCCCTTCATCGCAGGCTCAGGTTGTATATATGTGTAATTAAACCATATATCATAAAGACACCACAGTCTCCATCGTGCCTCATTCCCAAAGGAAACACAAACCCTGAACCCCTGGAATTCCACGTTGCTCAGAGATTGGGATGGTGTACAAAAGTATAAAGGCCAGGTTTGGAAGGCACACATTCTCCCCCTAAAACAGCCTCTTCATTCTCTGTTGAGAAGCAATTTTGAAGTGACAGGAGAGTGTAAATTCCTCCCCTTTCTGTTTGATGACTTTGAATGCCTGTGAAAATTAAAGAGTCAGCCAAGCAGGCCTTGATGCCGGATGTTATCAGTCTTAAGTTAGTTCCCTGTTAGCAAGTTCACTCCTCTTCACAACACCATCAATTTTACCCACTCCCTTCTCCCATATTGTTAAACACCATTTGACCGAGCCCTCCCTGCATGCCCCCCTCCATTCCTCCCAAAGTGAATCTTTAGTCTGAAGAATCTTTGCATCTTGGCCTGCTGCTGTGCCCTTGAGGGCTTCCCTGTCACATCACAAGAGGAAGAAAAAAGGAAATGCATATTACACAAAAAGGACATCAAGTTGAATAAAATTTTCAAATGCTAACGTGTGCATATAAGTGCAAATTACAAAAGAATTATTATAATTTAAGCACAAACACACACCATACATCTCACCATGGTGGCATGTTCTGTGACAAGGTGCCCTAATATGCCTAGTCTGTTTTCCATATAGTTTCTTACTATTTCAAGGCCCCTACTCTGCTTTCATGTGGTTCCATATCTGTAAACCAGCCCTGGACTCTAATGGAGGACTTTTTTCAAATAGAGGGCTGCCCTCTGTAAGCAGGACACCTGACCGCCCTTAATATCACAGCTAAATAGATCTTCATATTAGTGTAATATGCTGACAAAAGATAATAACTACATATTTTCTCCCAACAAAATTATTTTGGGAGACGTCAGAATGATGCTGTCATAATCCTGTTCCCCAAATAGTCTATTTACTCATTGTAAAAGGAGGTAACATACAATGTCAGCGTACACTGAGCTTTGTGATCCAGTACTTGGAAAATGCAAATTATGATGTGCCAAGATGGATCAACTGAACTATACATCTATCAGTTTGCCTCCCTAATTCTTTTTTGGGTTGTTGCTTACTTTTGTTGTTTACTTTTGCCGTGACACGAGATCGGCCCATACAGACTGCTTTCCCATCTATTTACATCTTTTCAACACTCATAGATTATAATTAAGTTGCACCTCTAGAATTTCAGCCAGGGCTGAATCAAGCACTGCTTATTCAATTTGAAAATGTGAAGTTTGGGAATGAGCACTCAGGTTTGCTTTCGCTCCTATAAAAATGTGACTTTGAGGCACTGTGGTTTAAATCATCGCACTGCTAATTCATTTTGCATCCATGTTGTTTTGTTATTTTATTATATTTTCTTCTTTTGGTTTTGTTTACATCATTTTGTCTTCATAAATAAAGCTTGCCACCGGTTTCAGGCTGATTACACAAAAATGCAGCCTGACTTTCCCAGAGCTGGTGACTTTGAGGTTACTAAGAACAGGATCAGTGCAAGAGATTTTGATTCTTGAGGTGGATGGCAGGAACAAAGACCTGCGGCCATTCCCCCCCCCCTCACTTTTGAACTTAGGTGAACCATAGCTGACTAGCTCCATAGGTTTTAGTAGGACTTAATCGTGAGAATCCTAGGCACACTTCACTGGGAGTAAGCCCCAATGTCTTCAGTGGGGCTTACCTTTGAGTAGACATGTATAGGATCATACTGGAACTTTAGCTAGAACAGGGCCCTTCAATTTTCAAATGTTCACGAGTCTTTTAGTTGTCTTTTTAAAACGTTACTCTCTGAATTAAGCAGTCTTGAATATTACAGACCCAAAAGCTCAAAAAGAGCACAGAAGGATGATGATGAGAGATGTAAAAGGTGCTAGCATGTAATGCAAATAATTATGCAGGAATTCCATGAAGATTAGAGTCATTTCTGTGCAATGTTAATGACACTGCAAATTCCAAGCAATTATTTCCATTTAGCAAGCGGGAGCAGCAACATGTACATCCAGGCTGAACTGAATAGCAATAGGCGTGAGGCCTTCTCAAAGGTAAAGCAATTGCATTGCCTGTTGCATTTTAATTGGCTGTAATTTAATTTTGCCCCCTTTCCAATGGTTTAATAGCTTTCCTCCATGCTCATGCATAAGCAGGAGTCTAGGTGATTTGTCTGATAAGCGGGGGGGGGGGGGGAGCCAGCAACACTTTGAGAATGAACATATTTGCTAAGTAATAGAGTGGTCTAGAATTTGTGGAAAGTGATAAAACCCAGAAACACCATCAATTCAATGACAAACATAGCTTTGGCCAACCAGTTGTGTTTGCTGTTATGATGAGTAGTAGCCTGAGGGAGAGTCTGTTGCATTGAAGCTTCTTCTTCCGAAAGGATCTCTTCAAACTAAGCGAATAGGCAACAAAATGGCAAATGTGGTTCAATGGATTTTATGCATCAAGAAGATTGTGCTCATAATCCTCTGAGATCTCATGGCAATACGCTGAAATAATTTTTGGGAGGAACTGTAAGAATATGATTTGATATTTTTAAGCAAAGCATTTGGTGTGTTGTGAGTTATGTTGTTTTATGTGTGGTGTGAAGAATGATATTTTTTTAAAAATGGAAAAGAAAGAAAAGAAAATGGAGTTGAAGAGACTTAAAATGCAAAGCAGCAAATGTACTGACCCAACCATCTCTAGCCACTACTCATCTAAAGCTTTAGAAGTGCCTTGAAACAGGTTCAGGGAACAAGCAAACCATGTCACAAATATATAATATGCAATGATTTTTCATGTAATATTGAGACCATCTTGCTTTGCAGCTCTTTCTCATTCAGAATTATTTTGCTCTTTCAACCCTGCACACTTCACCTGTGTGGAGTAAGTATTTTTGAAAATTTCAATATGTTCTTTGTAACATGAATTCTGGCCACATAACCGCATTTTGGTTTATGCCATTTTGCTACAGACATAGAATATACGTGTATGTGGAAAGGAGATTACTTATGTAAAGCGAAGCTAACGTAGCAGGATTTATTATTAATTTTTAAGAAAAAGGCTTTAAAAAAAATGAAAATAATATGGCCTAGGAAAGTGTCGGCCGAAGACATTTTGGCATCTGAGGTGAACCAAAAAATGGTTTTCCCCACCCCACCAGGGCAAAAGGGGTGAGTAAAGATCTACTTCAGGGACATGGGGGAGAAAAAAGATCTGCATCAGGATCTTCTGCCCCTCTGGACCCCGCCACCTGAGATGGTTGCCTTACCTTGCCTTATGGGCTGGCAGGCCTTCATCTACAAACCCTACAAATGCTCATGCAACCTCACTCAAGGTGGGCTTGTTTTGATGAGGGCATTCAATATCATATCATATTACATGCTATTTCATAAGCAGGTTTTGAAAACACAAACTTGCTAGCCACCAGATGATCCAAAAAGATCTGCAGTGCTGTGCTTCTAAGGAGAAGTCATCTCCAGGTTGATTCTATATTTTGGCTCAGTATTGTTCTTTCCATCTCTTTTTGGCTGGGTCTTGTGATTCGCTTGTAATTAGTCACCCACACTTCGTGTAAATGCTCAGACTCTCCCAGCTTGCTAATATATGCCCTAACAAATAAATATTCATGAAATTCACCGTGAAATTCTAAAAAAACCCTTAGTTAGGATACTGACCTCTGCCCTGCAAGGAAAAAATAATTTTATTATCATGCAAAACTGACCTCTAGTGTTCCACAGACTTCTTTCAACTTTGGTATTAAAATGCATGACCTAGCCCCCTCTGCATAATACCTAATTAAAACTGCTGCATTATCGACGTGTTACAGATATGAAACAGGAACTCTTGGGTGGCCTACTTATGAGGGGAAAGTGTAGAGGAAAATTACTCTTTTATTTAAAGGGCCCATGCTGTATTTCTGCAAAACAACCGAACCTAATTCTATGCGTCCACCTCACACAAATAAACTGTAGAGCTCTTGGAAATAAATGAGGAACTAGAGAAATTTAACTACAAAAGCCACTCATTTGGTGAGTTAGGATATCAGCATAAATCTTCAGGGTTACACGGGGAAACCAACCCAAAAGACACATTCCCTCATGGAGACCCTTCCAAGAGTCACTTGACAGTGATTGCAAAAGGCGAAAGGACACTAGATGCAACTCTTACTGTTGCATTACTATATTCCAACCACATACAAATCAGAGGTTTCTACATGCACACATTATCTCCCCAAGCTCTATCCAGACATCACATAATCTTGAGGTGGGCAGAGAGCAGGTGCAGCGGCGATTGCGTCTTGTGGAGAAAGGCTGTGGCCAGGAAGGGGTGTGGTCCCTGGGGCGACGTAGGGAGGTTTAGGGGGCTACATTTGGCTCCTAGGGCTGTAGTTCCCACCCCTGAGATGACGCATTGAGGGCAGTGCCATTTTTCTAGAAAAATAGGTGCCAGAACTCACCATGAAGGCCTCCCTTGTTCTCTTAGAATGGCAATGGTGCCCACCTGAGAGGTTCCAGCTGAAAAAAAGCCCAGAATGGGGAACCTTTTAGTTTGGGGGGGGTGTATTAATGGGGGACATGGCAGAGATTTATAAAACTACACACAGTGTAGAGAAAGTGGACAGAGACGAGTTTTATCTCATAACACTCAGGGTCATCCTGTGATTCTTGCACATAATGAATTTATGGAATTCCTAACCACCAGATATGGCAGGGGGCATTTGCTTAGATACCTGCAAAATGGAATTAGATTAATTCACAAATGATTAGATTACCATTGCTTATTAATTAGGATGGCTATATACTACCTTCAGGTTCAGAGAAATAGTGACCTCTAAGGAGCAACAGCTGAGAGGGCTGCTGCCTTCAGGCCCTCTTTTTGAGATTCCCGGAAGCATCTGGTTGGCCGCTGTGACCAGGGATGGATCTACACACAGAAAGAAAAAATGCTATAAACAAGTTATAAATTAAATTGTTATAACAAAAGGGGGGGGCTGTGTTTTTTTTACTAAGATCAACCTTTGACCTGATCCAGCTTAGCTCTTCTGATGTTCATGCTACTGTGATGACTTGTAAAGTACAAACTCCCTTCACACATTATTCATGGATCACAACCATTTTATCATCATATACAGTATGTCTTAAAGAAAAGACATTTCATGATCATGGGTGTGGCTGATCTATATTTAGTGCAAGTGAAAATGTTTACTCTGGGTTCCTGCCCTCCAGTAATCTGGTACTCAAAATGTGAAAACAGATGGAATCCAGCCTAAAGGATTTGTCATGTCGAACAAGAATATTCATTCATTCATTTGTGTGTCACGTTTACACACACACACACACACACACACACACACCAGACTCAAAGCAGCTTACAACAAAATACATTTCAAAACCAAGCAGTACAAAAAGAATGTCCTATTCACATAACAAAACAACACAATAGCAAATACAATATTATCCAAAAACAACATTTCAGAACTATAAATACATGATTACATCCAGCATCCAATAACAAAAATAGCAAGGGAGCTTTACAGTTTCACCTTGGTCCTATAAACACTCTTTGCATGATGTTCCTTGCAGTCCTTCACTTTCACCAGCTTCTCATAAGGTTTCCAAAGTTTTCTCCTCCCATAATGTTGCTCACCTCCTGTGATGTTGATGTTAGTTGCATTAACCTGAAGTTCATCAGTCAGCTCATAAAATGAAACAAGGACATTCTGTTTGTCAGAAATGAATAGGCTACCAAACAAAGCCACAACCCATTGAAACCTTCCTTTGTGTACCACTAACACTAAGCAAACACCTCTGGTACAATATTATGAACTGTTCTTTTGTTCAACTGTGTAAAACCATAAGGGGTTATGAAAAATTCAGTTGCTTGGCTGGTAGCGCATTAAAAAGCTCCACAGTCTCACTTTTCTCGATCACCATAGAGGCCTATGATTCATGACGGCAAAGGGGGAAAAAAGTACCCTCATGATATTCATTGTGTCTTGCTCTCTGTCAAAAAGCAATTTTCACACATTCCTTGTCCAATCCGTTTGAGTTGCCCACAAATGAAAACAAGGCTCATTGAATACAGTTCTGTTCCACCAAGCACAAGCCTTCGTAACTACAAGGCTCTGATGGCACTGACCTTATTAAGGTGCCTTGTCCCTGTGCCATGAGAATGTTTATGGGAGCCCAAGACACATGATTACCAATGGCACAAAACACTAAATCAGAGAGGTCACGGTAGATAAATCCTTCATAGCTGGAAGCATGAACTGATGGGAAGAAGAAACATCCATTTAGAGGGTTGTTGATTTTTTAAAAAAAAACAAACACCAATGTAGGTCTTTTATAAAAGGAAGATTTCCAAGTTCTAAGGTACAAATGGGAGGCATCGACATGTCCCAAATAGGCAAATTTTAGTCTTGCAGTAACTAAATTTCCAAACACTTCCATAACAGCCCAAGGAATGTGGCCAAGCGCACAAGCCCTCATGCACCAGCCATTATTCCCCCCACAAGCCTTGTTTTTCATTGTTTGCTGCTAGCGTTTCCACTGCCTTGTCAGATTTAAAAGAGTCGTGCATCATGTGCAGAGGTTAAAATGGCAAAAATAGCAGGCTCTGGGACAGGGCAAATAAGTAACTTTTGCTGCCTAAGGCAAAGGACAAGGTGGTTACCTCCTAGCATCCCACTGCTATCGACTCACCACTCAACCTGTTGAGGAAGATCGGAGAGCCAGGAAGTCTCAAGGGGAACAGCTGGGGCCTGCTGACCTGCTCCAACTGCTGAAGCAATATATCTGCTAGATGAGGGAGTGAATTGGTGGTAGCAGTTGCTCATCTTCTTTTTCATTGAATTTGTCCACTGACTTGTCTCCTCTAACCCAGAAGGAAAAGGTAAGGTAAAGGTAAAGGACCCCTGGACGATTAAGTCCAGTCAAAGGAGACTATGTGGTGCAGCACTCATCTCGCTTCAGGCCAGGTCATGTGGCCAGCATGACTAAACCGCTTCTGGCACAATGGGACACTGTGACACAAGCCAGAGCACATGGAAACACCATTTACCTTCCCACTGCAGTGGTACCTATTTATCTACTTGCACTGACATGCTTTCAAACTGCTAGGTTGGCAGGAGCTGGGACAGAGCAATGGGAGCTCACACCGTCACAGGGATTCGAACTGCCAATGTTCTGATCAGCAAGTCCAAGAGGCTCAGTGGTTTAGACCACTGCGCAACCCGTGTCCCAATAGAGGGAAAAGGTAGGCAATGACATACCCTCCAACATTTTTCCAATTAAAATAGGGACACCTTATTCTGCAATAGTAGTAGTAGTAGTAGCAGCAGCAGTACTAATTTTAGCCCTTCCATCTGACTGGGTTGCCCCAGCCACTCTGGGTGGCTTCCAACATATATAAATGCACAATTAAACATTAAATATTTTAAATATTAAAAAAAACTTTCAGATGTCTTCTAAAGGTTGGATAGTTACTTATCTCCTTGGCTCAGGGATTGCATAACGCCATATTTTCTGATGAAAATAGGGACGTCCTGCCATACCCTCCAACATTTCTCCGATGAAAATAGGGTCATCCTAAGGAAAAGTGGGACATTCCAGGATCAAATCAGAAACTGGGGCTGTCCCTGGAAAATAGGGACACAAAATAGGGTCTACAATGATGAGCAGCAGTGGCCAGAGGTTTCTTGGCAGAGGGTCTGCTCCAGGGGCCTCGGTCAAACCAAGCTGGGGCAACGGTGACAAAAATAAATCTCAGTTGATCAAGGGAGAAATGGAAGGCAGCAACAGGCAATGATCTTGCCCCAACTGCTTTAAAGGTGGCAGCCCACATTACTATGTGCTTCATGATATGCTGTGCCCACCTTGACTTTCTTAGCAAGTTCTATGTTTGGCCCTAATGTTTGGATACAAAGGAGCTGCAGCAAAATGTGAATGGGTTTTATAGGGTATATTTGGAACAGGGAAGGATTCCCTGAGAAGGCCCTGTATCTTGTTGCATCCACACTAAGTTTGACATAGAGAAAGGCCCTTCCTTCTGATGTAAGGGAGCAGGCACAATGGTACGGGAGGAATTGGTCCCACAGGTACATTATGTCTTGTTATGGTTTATTTATCCTGCAACCAAGCCATGTATGACTTTAAAGGTAATCACTAACACTATAAGGTATGTTCAGAAGCAAACTGGCACCTACTGCAGATGTTGCAGAACAGGTTTAACATGGGCTCATGGGTGCATGCCCACTAACTAACATCCCTTCTGCTTCATTTTGAACCAACTTCAGCTATGAAAGACTTGCTAATGTGGAGTCACTCACAGTAACCAAATCTAGATGTAACTAAAGCATGTGGTAGCCTGGTCAGTCCAACATCCTCAAGAAAAGCTGCAGCTGGCATGCCAGTTTAAGCCAAGTCAAAGCACTCATGGCCAGTGTTTCCACTGGGTCAGCCAGATGTAAAGCTGAGACCAGTAGCCATCCCAAACCCTGCACCAGATTCTTCAAGGTGAGTACAACTGGTTGTGAGGCACGCAAATAGGTCTGAGACAAGAGTGGGAATTGGTTTGATGGTTGGTGATGTCACAAAAGCACAGGGGAGAGAGGATAACTACACCACCACCCTCTGCAGTTCTGAAAGGAAAATGGCATTTTTTGGACTCTCATACAGACAAAAGACTGCATAAGATAATGTAGACAGCTAGGGAAAAACTAATAGAAATGTGGAGAACTATTATCATTAATAAAGTTTTCTATAACAAGATAAGCAGAATTCGTCTAAGGGCCAGGGAATCTGCATACATGTTTATCAGTCCCTGACTGCAACATCAAGTGATTATTTGCATGTGTAAAACAGCTGCTACAAATCAAGTACCACTGAGTGAAGTTTCACAACTGCCTCATAGGACATCAATCACAATGCTTCCCAGAAGAGGCAGTTCACACATTTCATTTGTGGCTAATCATGTGCTAAGTCACTGAGTGATGTACTATATTACTGAGAAATGCATATACATGTGTGAATCAGCCCCAGGTAGTTTCAGGCCTCATCTTTTTCCAGTGTAAATAGAGAGACTTTTTTTCCCAAGCAACAAGGACAGAAAACACACTTCAAACAGCTTCATAGGGCAGCCTACAACCCACAACCCAATATAATTGGCAAAATAAATTACTAGACCTCTCCTCTTCATCATTTTCCACAGCAATTTATAATGAGTTTCCTCATTATGTACAGAATAGGCAGCAATGAATATAACAAGAACACTAACCAAACAAGCCTGCTATATTGCCTGTTAAAATACTTGTTTAGCAATGTCGGGGGCAGGAGAAAGAAACTTTACATCTGAAATTGTATGCAGACTTACCTGGGAGTAATCAAGACCAGTGAACTCAATGGGCCTTGCTTCTGAATAAGGTCATGCTATAATGAGGCAACTATTGCATTAACTCCCTAACAATCTCCAAGCCACTTGAACTCATCAGAGTGATTAGATATATGTGCATTGCTATAGTACTATATAGGACCTTAGGGAGAAGAGTTGGTAATAAATGCATTGCCAGTAATGATAATAAGAGTTGTCCTTTAAATAGGACTGAGCTGGAAAAGATGGTGATTTTTCCTGAAAATTTTCACCACAACATTTGGCAATCTGAGCAGTGGGACAGTGAATGCTACAAAAGGCGGACACGTTGCAAGAATTTTCTGGGGGATATTTTAAGAGGGAAAATGGTGACCACCAGAGAGAGGTGCTTTGTAATGGTGACAGCTTTCCTCACAAATGCTCCACTGCAATGTGGCTTTATGAGAAATCTAAAACAACAGTTGATAGAGCTTTGAAGAGGGTCAGTAAGTTTTCTCTGCCCTCCAAACCCCTCTCCCTCTTATTTTTGTGTTGAATGAAGCCATGAAATGGGAAGCGTTTTATCCAGCCTCAAGTGATGTTACACTTGTGACAGCCTGTTCACACATGCAAGTTTTCACGTGATAGTGCAGCTATCCAGTGAGGAACATTATGTGAGCCAGCCCATTGCTTTGCATGTTGGCAACAGAGCCAAAGAAATGATACAACAAAGGGAAGTTGTACAGTAATGCCATATTTTAAAAAACACGCCAGATTGTTTTTATTTTATTTTTAAGGAGGATTTTTTTACATAAGCCTAAAGGGAAGATCAAAAATTATTCCAGATGATGTGTGTTTATTTACAGTGACTGAAGAGGAATGAACAGATATTTGTTCAAGTAACTCTGGGAGCTGACCGTTCAGACTGAAACACTGCTACAAGCTGACAGGTCATATATCCTGACAGCTCCTGGGAGCAATTCCACCCCCCATTCTGTGTTCAGGTGGCTTTTCTACCCAAGCTCATCTCTAGGGGCTGCTGTAGTTTATCATGATTCCACAGCAATACCTAAATGCAATTTCAGCACATCTCACTTCCACAGTGTTTGAGTAGTTAAAGTGACTTCTTTGGACCAGCAAGCATAAAAGGTTGCTATTTTGTCTTTGAATACACTCAGAAATTCCGCACAGGCACACTCCAGCAAATCTGTTCCTTTTTATGGAACGAGAAGCAGTAGCAGAATAAATGACATAGGACTTTAAGTTCACAACAATTTTTGGTAAATCAAGTTTGTGCTTTTTCACTTTCAGAAATCATATACTATACTTCAAATTGTTATAAAACAATCTCTTCTTTGTCCTTGTCTGGCTTCCAAAGACAAAAGTATGATTATCTTTGTCTGAAATATATCGGTGCATGAATTTAATTCAGCATTTACTAGAAATACGGTGACCTTGTGCGTTATACACTTTTATATATTGCTTAGACGTTTGTCTCGCTGTACATAACATTTTCCCCATCTGATATCGCTCATGTGGGATTTGGATTTTAGTGTTCGGTTCCCAACGATACTGCCTGCTATTGTTTTTGTTAAAACAAAATTAACCCTCTAAGGTTATGATAGAAAGAGCCCCAGCTGTTGCAAATGCCTGAGAAGTGACATCATTTTAAGGCAGCTTCCTATATTCCTCTCATAATGTTTATATTGCCCACTGGGATACAGAGAACTGGAAAGTTCTCCCATGCAAGCCTTGCTGAAATGAATAAATAGCCAACCTTCCAGGAAGGGGTGTGTGGTGGGGGCAGGTCACCCCGGGTGTCTCCACTGAGGGGGGTGACAAAATGTCCGGTGGCACTCACCGCGGGGCCTGCAGCGTGCCCAAGCCACGCATTTCTCCTGGGAGTGACGCAGTGGCTTGGGTGCCCGCAGGCTCCGCGCTGCCCCAAATGGTCTGCCTGCTACCTCCCCCTCAGCTGTAGGGCGGCTGAGTGGGAGGAGGCAGGCAGACTCCTTGGAGGCCCCACAGAGTGTCCTGCCCCGGCTGGCCCAGCCCCCCCCTGGGCGCATGGCATGCACACTCCCCCAGGCGCCCGATTGGCTTGCTCCACCGCTGCTTCCAGGTATTCCTGTATAACAACATCTGCAGGACAACACAGGTTCCCTACCCCTGGCTTACCCAGCACTAAGTGAGAGCTGGACCATAAAGAAGGCTGATCGCTGAAGAATTGGTGCTTTTGAATTATGGTGATGGAGGAGACTCTTAAGAGTCCCATGGACTGCAAGAAGATCAAACCTCTCTATTCTTAAGGAAATCAGCCCTGAATGCTCACTGGAAGGACAGATCGTGAAGCTGAGGCTCCAATACTTTGGCCACCTCATGAGAAGAGAAGACTTCCTGGAAAAGACCCTGATGTTGGGAAAGATGGAGGGCACAAGGAGAAGGGGACGACAGAGGACGAGATGGTTGGGCAGTGTTCTCGAAGCTACCAGCATGAGTTTGACCAAACTGCGGGAGGCAGTGGAAGACAGGAATGCCTGGCATGCTCTGGTCCATGGGGTCATGAAGAGTCAGACACAAGTAAACAACTAAACAACAACAACATGAAGTTTCTTCGCAAACCCTGCCAACTCCTTTGTGCCTCTAGCCATGTCTTTGGGCATCTTTCTGCTTCACCAACCCTTCTCTCAGGTTTGTATTCCTTAGCCCATTGCCCACTCTTCTGACAACATTCTCCTGTCAACATTTTTTTTTTAAAAAAAATTGTCCATACATATACCTGTCTAAAAGGGTGGCAGTTTCTACAACATCCACGTAGGAGCAATTGCTGATATAGATTATACAGCCTAGAATTAACGTTAGCTTTTCTTTTCTTTCTTTTTTCTGCTGCTGCTGCATCACACTGTTGACTCATGTTAAGCTTGTGGTCTTCTCAGACCCCTAGATCCTTTTCACATGTACAGTGGTACCTCGGGTTACAGAGGCTTCAGGTTACAGACGCTTCAGGTTACAGACTCCGCTAACCCAGAAATAGTACCTCGGGTTAAGAACTTTGGTTCAGGATGAGAACAGAAATCACACGGCGGTGGCAGTGGGAGGCCCCATTAGCTAAAGTGGTACCTCAGGTTCAGAACAGTTTCAGGTTAAGAACAGACCTCCGGAACGAATTAAGTTCTTAACCAGAGGTACCACTGTACTGCTGGAAAGCCAGGTGTCCCCTATCTTATACTCCCATCACCTTAGCCATGCTGCCTGAGATTGGTGGGAACAACATCTCGCGGGCCACAGGCTGCCCGCCCCTTGCCGTAGTGGCAGATCACTCCACACAGATGGCTGCCTTTCAAGTGGTAGTTGCAGCTTCAACAGAAGCCATCTGCAGCATGATCCCCAATGTGATACTTCCTCCTTCTCTTGGCAAAGCTCTTGTTGACTGAAGAGGATGGAGTCTGGCACAGAGGAAGGATATTGTTCGTCAGGGCAGCTCACCACTTGGCAGCAGCTTTGCAATCAGTCCACAATGCACCAACTCAAATGCCAAGAATGAAATCCCATGATGATAGGGCATAGCACTGCTTTAAGAAGTGCTTGACTGAGATGCCCACTCGGGCCTCTGCCTTGTCCTATCGGTGCTTTTTCGTAGCGAGAATATCCTAAGTATGTACGAGGTAGCAGAAGGCAAGAGATTTCCTCGTGGTGAACTCTATAATATAATTAGTATTGGAACAAGGAACGGAGCCACAGAGTATTTGTTAAACAGAGCAATCATCCGGTGTATGGATCAGGAAAATGCTTTGGGAGTTGTTACAGAAAATCATTTAAGCCAGCAGAACTCTGCACTGCAGCAGCCACGCAGGCAAACAAATTGCCATGCTAAGTACACACAAGCAGGAACATTAATATTTAGATATAAAAAATAATATTGTTTTTGTTTGTATCTGAAATATGGATTTCTGAGCAGGAAGAAGGGAAATTGGTGGGCTATTATAAAGGAGATATGGGGAAATCAAAACTTTTATTACAGTGGTCATAGGCTGTGTACACTCATCAGCTTGAAGTGGATTCAAGGCATCCTGTGTGTGTGTGTGTGTGTGTGTGTGTGTGTGTGTGTGTGTGTGTGTGTGTGTGTGTTGCATTGTCCACATGATGATGTCCTCATCCAAGTGGCTGCTTGCACTGTCCCCATACAGGGGTACCTCAGTTTACGAACTTAATCCGTTCCAGAAGTCTGTTCTTAAACCGAAACCATTCTTAAACCAAGGTGCGCTTTCCCTAATGAGGCCTCCCACCACTGGTGTCCTTCCACCATTCGGATTCTGTTCTTAGACCAAGGTAAAGTTCTCAAACCAAGACACTATTTCCAGGTTTGCGGAGTCTGTAAACCAAATCGTTCTTCAACATCTAAAGACATCTGAAGGCAGCCCTGTTTAGGGAAGCTTTTAATGTTTGATGCATTACTGTATTTTAATATTTTGTTGGAAGCTGCCCATAGTGGCTGGGGCAGCCTAGCCAGATGGGCGGGGTATAAACAAATTATTATTATTATTATTATTATTATTATTATTTTAAACCAGACTGTTCTTAAACCAAGGTACCGCTGTATTTCATTCCGATTTTCCTCATCCACAGATTATTTCTTATTTAACAAAATGCATATACTGCTAGATTGTAATAAATGCCTCCAAGGGGTTTACAAAAAGCACACACCTTAAAGTGATCAATAGAAACCTTTAAAAACAGGTACTGAAAAACATTCAAAAGACGGCTAAGGAGATTAAAACACATTGTCAACATTCTACATGTCTAAACAAAAATGTTTTACACAGGCACTGTGTTCAGCCACACACAGGACTGCTTTACTGAAAATGGCATGATGTCCTCAGCTGCTTCCTGCACACCTGGCTGCTGTTCTTCTTATTGTTTTTCCACTTTAAAATATCTCTGCAGAATCGTTGTTGGTTTTTTTAGGTAAAATGACTTTCTTTAAAAATAAAATTTGTGACCACACTGATCTCAGGTGCTCAGAAGTCAGCCTCCTTGGTTTCCGTGGCTTTGGTTAAAGCTCAAAGGAAGATGCCACGAGATAACAAAAACTTCCAGTGGAGGTTTTTCAGATGTTCAGGCAGCTGGGGAGGCTGCAGAGTGCTGGAGACATGTTTAATTTGAAGGCGGAGGGAACACTCACCATCCGCAACCAGCTTGCAACAGTAAGGTAAGCTCAACCTCTCACTCACTGGAATGATAATGAAATTCTAAACTGTCCATAGGAAGAGGGAGACAAAATGGAAGGCTTCTTCATGGGAGAAGAAAAGAAATGAAAACCTGAAGGATGCCACCAAATAGAGACTCTGGAAAGTAGGGCAAGAAGTGGCTGCTCTGCTCTGCTTCCTATGAACAGCCCTGAGCTGTAGCCATAACTAAGCATAAGTCTTAATTGTGGCACCTCAGCTGATCTATAGGGTTATGGTGTGTATCCAGAGTCTTGAATTCAGGAAATGTGAGGTTTTTTATTTTAAAAAACCAACATCCATACTTCATGGAAACCTGAGAAATGTGCCGACCACGAATGAGAGAATGAACTAGATTTTTTAAAAAGCCAGACAAAATGTACTGGTTTAGTCTTTTTCTTTCTTCTTCAAATTTACTAAGTTCTCATGCATAAGTTAAAATAACTGTCGCAAAGAAGATTAATGTTACGCACATCAATGCCAGCATCAAAATAGCAACTTTGGTCCAGTGTTAATAAAGACAGTGAATAATATTAGTCAGAGACTATGTTTAAATGAAATTCACTAAATCATATTCATTAACTCCAAAAAAAGATAAAGCGAGCAAATGAAAATTCATACAAGTTCAAGTCTAAAGGCAAAAAATAATTCTTTACAAAGATGATTTGTCTGCTCTGCTATCATAATTTTCCCTCACGAAGAGGAGACATCTTATTCTAATTGCTTTTTCAGCCTGCTTGAAACAAAGAATTCTGTTGCATTTGAAAACTAAATTTTGCTTATGCCAGCTGGTTTCAAAAGCATATTAAATTTTCAACATCAAAGGCTTTACTTAACAGTTTTTAAAATCCTTAAAATAACGTTTGTTAACCATTTGCTTTGCAACAAACAAAAGAATTAATCTATCCAGCAAATTGCTTGTGTTCAGAGAGGATGGTTTAATAAAAACAACTTATTTCTTAGAAATATCAAAGGTGCCTCTTATTTTCACCTGTTTTGTATTTTTTGGAGGGAGGAATCCTATTACCACCAACTAGAAAATTTCAATCAAATTTGGAGATTCCCAAGCAAAACACCCTATACTCTGACTTTTGCTCATACTTGCTCACTGTCCATGACAAATAGTTCACCTGTAACATTTTTCTTGGTTACCCGTGAAAATCTTCTCAAAGTGGGTTGAAAAGAAACATGCAAAACTTCAGTTGCTGTTCTAATAACATCTTGTTTTAATATCCCCCAATACTGATCTTATTTCTGGATATTGCAGGCAGGGAATAGAGACTGTTACCATGATAATAGAAATCTATATGGTTGCAAGAACCTATGTCTAGTAGTGACAGTGGCAAATTTTAGAACTGAGGGGCTTCAGAACGATTCAATATATTGGGCTAGGAAACACAGGATGCTGCAGATCCACGTAGCGCAATCATAAAATATGGTGCTGAGCATGCATAGAAACATCAAGACCTGAAGGATTAGGCCTCAAAGGCCTATATTGCCTTTGCCATCTCCCCTCTCTACAGGTAAATTTGCATGATAAAAGGCAGAAGAGTGTCAGGGAGGTCTGGGGATGCTGAGTTTATCTGGGTGTATCTTTCATGCTTTTCTTAGAAAATAAAGTAAAAAGAGAGAGAGAGAGCTGAATGGGGTCTAAACCACTGAGCCTCTTGGGCTTGCCGATCAGAAGATCGGCAGTTCGAATCCCCGCAACGGAGTGAGCTCCCATTGCTCTGTCCCAGCTCCTGCCAACCTAGCAGTTTGAAAGCACGCCAGTGCAAGTAGATAAATAGGTACCACTGCGGTGGGAAGGTAAACGGCGTTTCCGTGCACACTGGCACTCATCACAGTCCTCCGTGTGCCAGTAGTGGTTTAGTCATGACCCAGAAAACTGTCTATGGACAAACGCCGGCTCCCTCGGCCTGAAAGCGAGATGAGCACCACAACCCTTTTGACTGGACCTAACCATCCAGCTGCTTTACCTCTTAAAAAATAATTAAATACAAGAGAACCCCAGGATGTGGATGGCAGCAAAAGAGAGCTCATCCATCACTCATTTCCAGTGGCATCCCTCATATGATTTACTGGTGCACCACACCAGTATTCTATGGCTAGAATACTATGGCTTTATATGCTGCTACAGTAATCCCAAGAGTCCTTTCATCAATGATGTTTCTTCTACGGAGACTTTTTCCTGGGAAAGCAGGGCTGTAGCTCCATGGTAGAGCACCGGCTTTGCATGCAGAAGGTCACAGGTTCAATTCCTGGTAACTCTGGGAGGTCCCCACGTCTGCAACCCTGGAGAGCCATTACCAGTCAGTACAGACAATACTGTGCTAAATCGACCAATAGTTTGATGAAATATGTCTATTTCAGTTTCTCTCAATTTCTCATTTTTCCAATCTTCAGCTCGGTCCTCCACCTTTTCACATCAGTTTGTGATATATATATATATTTAAGCCCTCATGAAAATTCATTGGCATTTTGGAGTTTATTTCTCCTTATATAAACACATTTTTGCATGCAATGGTGCCTAATTTTTGCAAAGAGATTTCCTGTAATATAATAAAATTTGTACATTATTTTGAGTAATATGCACATTTATATGCACACTTTACCTTTCTATGTGCATTTTCGTACACATTATTTGGCTGGAGATTGGCGTTGCAAAATTCAAATAACGATGGCTGTGTTTCAGTTCTCATATTGTTTGGGAAAGTGCAAATTATGTAAGTTCATCTTTAAATGTAAACCAAATCAAATCCCTCCATCTCTGTGTCTGACTCAGTATAAGACCTCTCCCTGTGTTCCTAAACTTTACATTAATGCATAGCTTTTTGTGAACACTGCCAATATGTCTGATTTGCCGCATATCTGGAAGCTTCAGCAAGCACCAACTGTGGCTTCCAAATGTGTGAATTCATTGCAGAGTAAATGCTGGCACAAATGTTTGTTTGGTTTCCCCCCGTACGTCAATGCATGTCCCTTGTAGGGGAAATGAAATAACCCTCAGGACTGGGCTGTTAGTGTTTGGCATCCACGGAAAATATTTCTTCCTTGCACAAAATGTCACACAGAATAAATCAGGAACGAACAAAATCAGTTTCAGTTGTCCTTGCCGAGATGTTAGTATTCACATTGTCTTCCCGTAATTGGATTTTGTTTAACCAATCCTATTAACACACAGGTTAAAAACCTAACAAAGCAGAAGAGTTTAAAAGCAAGTCCTCAAAATCTCCTAATGACTGTTACTTAGGCATCATTTAATCCATACCGTTTTGGGGAGGAGTGTGACTCATCAGCTCAACTAATCTTTGCTTCTCATGATGCTCTATCCCATAGCTCAATAAAATTAATGCATTGCATAAAAATTGCAGCAAGAACTTCATGCATGAACTGACCTTGATCTCCAGTCATCTTTGAAGTTTTCCTTGAAAGGGATATGGGACTGGAAAAAGCTGAGGTCCTGCCTATCATCAGCTTTCTATCCTTCCGGGTTTTCCCTGACATTTTGTGGATTAGGCAAAATTCACCCCAATGCCAATTTTGCACTCTAAAACCAGGACATATCAGGAATTTTCCTGACATATGGCAAGCCCCACTGGCTCAGCTGAAAGGCCAACAACTTTTGACGACTCCTCTCCTTGAATTCTTTCCATTCCAAGTGTTTGCTACCAGAACTTCATAACTAAATAAGTTTGTTTTATCCTTATCTCTTCCAATGCCTTTTCCTTTCGTGACATGTCTTTTAGGTTGTATACCTGAAACAGGGACTGTCTTATTGCTGATATTTTAAAGATACTTTGGGAGTCTTTGAGGGGATAAAGAGCAGAGTAAAAATGCTTTAAATAAATAAATGACTATTTTTCTCTACACTTGTCAATGTTGTGGAGACGGAAGATTTTGTAGGCTACCCACAATTTGCCTTCCGCACCAGTTTCCATAGTTGGTAATTTTATGACATCTGAAAGACTCTCACATTTCTGAGTACCTTCTTTGATAATCATTAATTAAGCAGGGAACCATTTTTCTGCTTTTACGTGTTCTCCCTATTAGGAGTATTAAGCATAAGAACAACTATACCTGTCAAACTCTAATTAAGTCTGAAGTAATTTTGTAAATAGCAGAATTCTCTGAAATCCATTTCCATGAGTGCAACTGCCCTTTTTATGTTCTCTGAGGAAAAGTCATTATGTATTTGATGGAATAACATAGACTGCATGCCCATTTTTTCTTACTAATTTTATTTCCATCAAAAGAAATTTAGAAATTAAAGATGAATGTGTAGGCAGAGAGCTTTGAAACTTGCCAGAAGTTTTTTGAACTACTGATTACAATGAGCGGAAGAATTGTGTATGCATGCATAGTGTGGGCCAGACAATATTGGATAACTTTTTAATTTTTGGAGTCCTGTTCCTTTAAAAGTTAGAAGGAATACTTCAATGGTGCAAACTGTCACGTTGCACTCATTTACAGATTTTTTTTTGGGGGGGGGAGGTGCCCTTTCCGAAATTGTCTCTTCCACCCATAGATACAGGAACTCCAATATTTTTAAAAAATGACTCAGCCCCAGTTTGCAACGTTTTCTCTTTGGATATTTGTTATGCATTTCATCAAGTCATGGAATTAATGGGAGTTGGGAGGGATACCAAGGGATACCAATGCAAGAATCACAACAGGGCTAATGTACACATGATGCCATATGCTGGAATAAAAGACGAGGGTGTGATGTATTTTGATGAATTATCATGCACTGCTGTCAGGCTAAATGGCAGGTTATGAGTACAGTGGTACCTCGGGTTACAGACGCTTCAGGTTACAGACGCTTCAGGTTACAGACTCCGCTAACCCAGAAATAGTACCCCGGGTTAAGAACTTCAGGATGAGAACAGAAATCATGCTCCGGCGGCAGTGGGAGGCCCCATTAGCTAAAGTGGTACCTCAGGTTAAGAACAGTTTCAGGTTAAGAATGGTGATCTGGACCTCTTAACCAGAGGTACCACTGTATAAGGAATGAAAAAACAACTCTCCTTAGAAGAACAGATGTCCCTGGAACTCGTTGTTTTTGTTGTTGTTGATTGAATTCATAGGGAGTCTCAGGGCAGTTCACAAAATAAAATCAAGATATAAAACTACAAAATACATAATAATAATAAAAGCAACAACCCAATAGGCCACCCCACCCCACCCCAAAAAAACACATTTTATAAGGGCTTAGGATATAAATCAGATCAAGCAAAGGCCTGGTTTAAAAGAAACGTTTTTGCCTGGCATCTAAAGGTGTACAATGAAGGCGCCAGGTAAACTTCCCTGGGGAGAGCATTCCACAGACGGGGAGCCACTGCAGAGAAGGCCCATTCTCGTGTTGCCACCCTCTGGACCTCTTGAGGAGGAGACACACGAAGGAGGGCCTCAGAAGATGATCTCAGGGTCTGGGTAGGTTCATATGGAAAGAGGCGGTCCTTGAGGTATTGCGGTCCTGAGTCATTTAAGGCTCTCGATCAAAACCAGCACTTTGAATTGGGCCCGGAAACTTAACTGGTAGCCAGTGCAGTCGGACCAGGATCGGTGTAATATGCTCAAACAGTCTTGCTCTGGTGAGCAACCTGGCTGCTGAATTCTGCACCAGCTGACGTTTCCGAACCATCTTCAGAGTCAGCCCTACATATAATGCATTGCAGTAATCTAACCTTGAGATTAGATTCATAGCATAAGAAGATAACAACACATCTAAACGTTGAATCTTTATAGCGAGTTTCCCACAGGCATCCGGCTGCTGTGACAACAGGATGCTGGACTAGATGGGCCATTGGCCTCATCCAGGAGCATAGCTGTCAACTTTTCCCTTTTCTTGCGAGGAATCCTATTCGGAATAAGGGAATTCCCCTTAAAAGGGGGGGGAACATTGACAGCTATGTCCAGGAGGCCCTTCTTATGTCCCCTTTTCTTTGAATTTCCCTCAAGAAAGGCCGGTAGGATCTGAGACATGCTGGAATAATAAATACCTCTTTTATCCACGCTATTACTTTCTGCTTCTACTTCCATTCCGTTAGAACTCCCCCCCTACTTTCTTGAAAGCAGTAGTCAAAGCAAAGGAAATCATTTCCATAAAATGTTTATGTGATTGGGATGTGTTTTTCTTCATTATTTGCAGAGGGATATACACAGATAACCACACTGAAAATAGCTCAGGAACCTGATGCAGAATTAGCAGCTACGTATCCTGATTCTTGGGAGTCTGATTACTCCCGATATGCTCTGTCTGCATATTTTTAAATAAATATATTGTAAGGACGCTGTAACTCTGCAGTTCTCTCTCATCCAAAGGAAACTAGACCATCAAGTTCTAGCTCTGCTCCGGGAAGTGAGAAGCACTTGAGACGATCAATTTTCTAAAAAATAAAACCAACTGGCTTTTAAAAGTCATAGATATTGATGCATTTTGCCATTTCCATTAAAATTGTCATTTCTCAAACATATCATTTTTGGGGAAACATGGTCTTCAGTTTAACATGCATTCCTTGGCCTATTTAACTGTTGTCGGTATTAATGTTGCCCTCCAGAGCTGGAGAAATTTGAATCATAGACTCATGAAAATGAATCAGCCAAATTCTGAAATTGAGGCATGAAGGATTCAGTGTGCTGTAGACGTAGATGGTGGGGAACCTATGAGCCATTGAGCTAACTAGACCCACCAGGTTTCCCCATTTGGTCTATGATACCATTATGGTCAAGCCACACCCACCTGCTCTACACCTGACATCATATTTAACATCAGGGTGGGGCAGGTAGAAACCCAGCTAAGCCAAAAGGACACCAGGGATTAGCTGATCTGCAAAACTCCTGCAAAGCACTTTGCAAAATAGCCCTTCGTAAAGGGCTTCTCAGGACCCAACAAAGCGCTCTGCAAGACCATGATGTGATGTCAGGTGATGGACAGGTGGTCAGCTCCACCCGCCTGTCAATCCTAGCCCACGAGGGCTGGGGGGATATAATGAGAGAGATGATTTGCAGAATGAAAGAAAGGACACCTGCACAACCCTTCAGCTGCTTTTAAAGAGAGGTGAGTGGAATAACAACAAAGTCCCATATCCCACCCATGGAAGTTTTACCAAAGTCTCCTCTCCCCTTTGATAATTTCCAAATGCGTTTTCCTTTCTCATTAATTGGTGGCTAAAAGTTGAGGAAATCTTTGGCACAGCAGCAGTCATCATGAATTTTTTAGAGCTTGATGGAAAGAAATTTCCCCTCCTAAATCTGTGCGGGTCAGGTTCTT